GTAGGAATCTTAGCATTTAGATCATTATCTCATCAACTGAGTAGCTGTTGAAAGAACCAAGATAATACATACATCAAAGCAGGTACTGCTTAGCCTCCACATACAAATCAACAAAACATTTTGTTTGTTATTTTCTTATTTCAAAGTCATCATACCAGAAGATGCCTCTGGTTTCTCGATTATTGGCTTATTTTTTAAAATTCAAATAGTTTTATTGTATAAATATAACCTGTTAATCTGAGGTCACCTTACATTTGTTGCGCCTACTTATGTCAATTATGGATCTGGGGACCACTTTTAAAATGCAGTTTTGATTTTTAAAAATTTCTTATTAATACTTGCACTCAAAAAGTTCATGAAATTTTAAAACATTTACTGTTTAAGGTATTTCTTGCTATTTCTTGCTGAGTTGGGTCAAAACCATTATTTTAAAATTATTTTGACTGTAAAGAACTCACTGTAAATGGATCTAGTTTTAAAAAGCACACTCTTACCAATTGTTTGTGTTAAGTAGAAGAGAAGTATTTGTTTATATGATCCTTGGATGATGGATACTTTAAACTATGAATAATTCTTCTTATGTTGACATGTTGATAGGGAGCAACATACTTTTCAGTGGGTAAATCTCTAGCTTCCTGAATATCAATCTGAGTGATAGTAGAGGGGGAAATATGAGTGAGAGACTTAAGTACTGAGCTTAAAAACAGTTCTTTATTTTTCCCACTCTTCACATTAAAATAGGGAGAGCAAAGGTAGTGGAAGCCACAGCAGGCCACTTGTTACTGTTGACTTAAGTACAAACAGTCGTGGAAGTGTTTAGCCCTTTGGGAAGTTTAGTGACTGAACAAGAACCCTGGAGTTGTTTTGATAAGGGGGAGTAATATGGCCAAAAGTATGATCATCCCTGAGCTCTGAAGCAGGCCAAGGATAAAGGGCTGAAGTATTTGCTCTTCCAGATGAACAAAGATAAATTCAGTTAGCAAAATAAACTCAGTATTTTGGTCAATTTGTGACAAAATGGTGAAAGAATTGAATTGTGTATTTTAGAACTTGGCATGAAGAGGTGTGGGAAAATAGTTCAGCATCTCTAGTTCTGGCTCAGTTTTTGCTATAGATTTAGAAATAGAGCAGAAAATTAATGCAGAAACATGTTTAATAGTACCACCCAAATGTTGTAAATCCAAAATGAAAATTGAAACTATATGAAGAAGGAGAGCAAAACTTTTTCTCAGGAGTCCTTACTTATTAAATTTGAGCCACAGTTTTCTTAGCATTACTACTGAGTAGTGTTAAAAATCAAGGCCTCCATTGATGTGAGGTGCCCTTTGCCCTGCAATTCCCATTCTCGGGATTATGATGTTCTTCTCACTCTTGGAGAGAGAATTTAATTTGTAAATGCTCTAAGAACCAGTCTGTAGAGAAAGGCATACTGACACATTATGTTTATTACTTTTATTAAATTTAACTTTGTAAAATATATCTTTTTCTGGGATTAGTTTTTGCTTTTCATTAGATACTGTTTTACTTTAGACACTTATTTAAAAACTTGAATTTTTTAGCTGTATTTTTTAATTGAAGTATAGTTGATTTACAGTGTTGCAGGTATATAGCAAAGTGTTTCAGTTTGATATATACATAT